ATAGCACCGTATGATCCAATTATCTTCCAAAAGCCCTACCTCTGAATACATGAGACTTTGGGAGAACATTTTAGATCTAAACCATAACGCTCACCTCTGGCCTCCAAAGGGCTCATGTCCATTTCCTTATGCAAAATGGATTTAGTTAATCACTAAGAGTTGCTACTCTTAACAGTTTCAGCATTGCTGAAAAGTTCATGTCCAAAATCTCTTCTGAAACTCAAAGCAAACTATTAGCAGTGAGCCTCTATAAATGTTTTTTAATTTAAATACTTTCAGCATACAATGCCACAGGGAAAACATTTCCATTCCAAAAGGAGGAAATAGGGAAGTAGGAATATATTTAAACAAAACTAAAACAAAACCCAAAACCCTAAATCCTTTAGCTCCATGTTCAACACCTAGGATAGATTGTGGTGAGATATGAACATCAAAGGTCTTGGGCAGCCCCCCTTCCCAAGGCCTTGATAGTTGCACTCCATGTGGCCTCCTTCTTGGGCTGGCTCTGCTCCCTGCCTGTGGTTTTCCTCGGCAGGCATTCAGCATTTCTGGCATTTCCAATTTCCTTGGGTTTCCGCTGCACCTTTGGCTTCACTCTCACACCCTCTTAGAGGCTCCTGTCAGGGACTGTGACCCTGCCACACATTTTTGCCTGGCCTCCCAGGCCTTCTTCTGAAATCTAAGTAAAACCCTCTGTGACCTCATAACTCTTACATTCTCCATGCCTGAAAAATCAGCACCCCATGGATGATGCTAAGATCTGGCACCAGCTCAAGCAGTAGCTTGGCACCCTTGGACCATGGCTGCAGTGGCTTCTGAGTGCCTGGATGGCTGAACTCAGGGAAACACTTCCCTAGGCATCCCTGAATAAACAGGGCTCTCTTCCCAAAGCAAACTCTTTCCAGAAAGTTTATCCTTTCATATCCTTGAACCTATGGAGGGTAAGGTTTGGCCAATTCTTGAGATGCTTTCAATACATCTTTCCTAGTATCCTGATGCCAAGTACTTGGCTTCATTTTAATGTTAATCTTTTCAGCAACAATGTTCTCCATGGCTCCAATTGTGCAGGCACTTCTTTTCTTTTTTTTTTTTTTTTTGCACTTCTTTTTTGATGAAAATGCAAATTTTTAAAAATCTTTTAGCTCTACTTTTTGTTCCTACTTCTTACTATAGTTCTGGCTAAAAGCAGCTACCCATACCCATGCATGGACTGAACACTGGGCTGCCTTGAAATTTCCTCCACCAGGTCAGTTAGTCCACTACCTTTAAATTCAGCCTCACTCAAAGTCTTAGGATATGAACAAAACATAGACAGATTATTTTCCAAAATAAACCATGGCCTTTAGTCCAGTTTTTAATAGAGTCCTTACTCTTCCCATTTGAAACCTCAAGAGATTGTCCTCTACCATTTGCATTCCTATCAGCATCCTGGTCTTCTGAGCTCCAACCATAATTATCCATCAAGCTCTTCTTATAGCAATCTAGGGTTTCTCTAACACACTCCTTCAAACTTTTCCAGACTCCTCTCACGAAGAAGTTCTAAAGGCTTCTAAACCACGTGGTCAGGTATAGTCATAGCAACAACGTGCTCTCCGTGCCAGTTTTCTGTATTAGTCACTTTCCTAACACTGGGTCAAAATATCACACACTTGAAGGAAAAGATATTTATTTTAGCTCATGTTTCAGAGGATTAGTCCATGGCTGGCTAGCTTCAAGGCAGAAACAGTGTGGTGGGGAAGTGCATGATGGAAGAAAATTGCTCAACCCATGGCAGCCAAGAAGCAAAGAAAGAAAGGAGGAACTGAGGACAAGAATACATCCTTCCAGGTTATGCCACCAGTGACTTGCCTCCAATTAGGCCCCACCCTCTAACAGCACATTCAGCTACTAACTCAGCAATGGATTAATCCACTGATGAGTATCGTACCCCTATTATCCAATCACCTTCCAAAAGCTCTACCTCTAAATACATGGGACTTTTGGGGGACATTTTAAATCTAAACCATAACAGTACTTTACACAATTTTTGTTTTTCTTTGTGACGTCAGTGTCCTGAAATTCCTTCTGAATTGGCAACACACCTCATTTTCCACTTAGTAAATATGTCCACCATTTATGCTTTGGGCAACATTTTGACATTTTTCACTGGATCTTTTTCATCTCATTTTTCACTTACTTTGTCTAATTGATGACATTCTCACTACTTAATGCCTATAAAATTATGACAACATTAGGTCACAATAAGAATTATCCCAGAAGTTTATAAGCAGATGTGGGGTGGGTATGTGTGTGCATGTGTTTACGATAACAGTGTTTACATAATCTCCACGACAAGAGGCCCTGGGGACTCACACACAGTGATGGAACAGTTGGTTTAAATTAGGCTTCCATGTGAAGTACAGTATGGCTATTTTTTTCCTAGTGTTGTGGGAAAGTGTATGGAAAATGATTTGACTGATTGGAAATAAATCTGGATGCATGATCAGGATTGAGGCACGAACCTAGTGATCATCTGTGCCTGGTCTGTGAAGCAGACCTCTCAGGGAGAATTAACTATTTTTAGTCACTACAAGGTGGGAGAATAGCCTTAAAGAACAATGATTTTCTAGAGACCCTGATTTGCCATGAATTTCAACAGGAAAAGAGATAACACTCTGGGAAGAATGTAGGCAAAGGCCTCAAGTTCTAATGAATTGGATGACTATGAGGAACCAGTTTAGCTTTCCAGGATCTTATTTTTATTTGTAAGGAGAAGGGTTTTGAATTTCCAACTCTAAGAGTTCATAGTGTTATGATTCTAAATGTTTGTTAATGACTTCCCATTGTAGTTTAGAGCTTATCAAAAGTAAATCAGACTAAAGAATTGGACAGCAGCACCACATCAGACAGCCTCTGCTGGGAAAATAACTTTTTGGTCTAACAGAGCTAGGGCTTTAGGGAGCAAGGGATTGCTCATAGCTGTTGGAGACACGTTGGCTCTGGGAATCCCAGACAGTTCCTGGGATGATCTGAACAGTTCTAGAAGTCTGATTCCAGATCTGTTCTGATGTTGCCTGAAAGCCAGCGTCATCCAGAGCAGGTGGAGAGCAGAGGGGCATGCTGGAACTTCCTGGGCTTGTGACCAGCCTCAGGGGTGGCAGGTGGTCCATCATCTTTTGCTTCTGCCTATTTTTGAAAGAAAAAAGGCAGATTATTATTACTCCAGTGCTCCTGGCTAGTACTAGTTTATAGCCCTGTTTTTATCACGAAAATTCCCAACTGCTACTATTTCCCTATTTGTTTTTATATAGGGATAGGAAATATGGGCTGAATATAAATCCTTTGCATTCTGTTTTTTGTTTTGTTTTGTTTTATTTTTGTTTTTTTAAGTAATTTTTAGATACTATTTTTGGTATCTTCTTTTATTCCAGCTTTGTCTTCAAATTCCCAGCTCCAAATTGAGTGCTTAGAAACACTTACCCAGGTTCATCTATAAAGAAACTGTCACTTTTTATCAGATAAAAGAAAGAACACTAGTCTGGGAGTCCTAGTTTTGACATCAACAAGAACTGTGACCTCAGAGTGCTGGGTGTGGTGGCACACATCTGTAATCCCAGCACCTGCGAGGCTGAGGCAGGAGGATGGCCATGAGTTTGCAGCTATCCTGGCCTGCATAGTGAGTTCAAGACTAGCCTGGACTACACAGCGAGACCCTGTCTCAAAAAAACTAAAAAAGAAAAAAGAACTGTGACCTCAGAAAATAATTTCTGACCATAGATTCTTGATCTGGAAAAATGGAATTGAACTACCTTCTACAGTTGCTGCCAGCACTAAATGTCATTAATTCTTATCATATTTTTGACTTGTGAGCAATATACCCTTGACCTTGAACTCTTATTTCCTGCAGCTGTCTGGGTCACTGTGAAATCTTCTTCACTCTCACTCAGGCTATGGAAGTGTTACTCTTCAGATTTCAGCACTGTTACTGACCCAGCTATAGCAAATGGGGCCATGTGGGGTTAAAACAGGCTTCGTTCTGTTAGCGACTGAGCTCATCAACTCAGATGTTAGTCAGGATAGATCGAGTAACTCAGATGGACACTAGTGCCCAAATGCCAAAGTATGGACAGCAGCAAAATAATTTTAGAACTTAAGCAGGGATTAATCTGCATATCAAAGCTGCACATCATAAAGGAGGGGTGTAGATATGAATTATTATTAAATATTGTACTCCAGCCTGCATAGGGGAAAACACAGACCACATTTGAATAAATTTATCTAAGAGCTGCAGAATATTAAAGTTTGTATATACACTTGGCATTAGTGAGAGGTTAATAGTGCAATCTCTGGATCAGACACCCTAAGTCCAAATCCAGCTTTTGCCACCTAATGATTGGTGACCTTAAGCAAGTCTCTGAGGATATTAATAGTCCCTCACTCTTAAGATTCACTTTTAGGACTGTTGTGAGAGATAAATGAAGTAACATAGGCAATATGCTTAGAATAGTCCCTGGCACATGGTAAGTGCTGTATAAATATTTGTTCTCATTAGTTTGGCATTTGAAAATCATAATAGATAATATTTGTGTTAAAAATGTTCAAAAATTGTTTTATATTTTTTGATAGTATATATTTTACTGATTGATAAATGTCTTTAATTTATGAGCTAGTGCACTGAAATGCATCTAATCTTGATGTCCATTAGTCAAATATATTTCCATCAAAATTAGTCTTAGGTTTTATTTACTTAACAGTCTCATGGAATTGTATAAATCAAGAAGGATCTTATCAGTTTCCCTTTTTAGTAAAGATGAGAGAGAAGAGGAAGAGAGATTAATGAGCTGTGCACAGTCTGTCATCAAAGCAATGACAGAGCAAGGTTTTCACTTCAGATCTTTCAGCTGAGTCCTTCCTATCCTAATACTAAATAATTTTTTAAAAAACCAAACAGTTTTCCTATGAAAAAATATTTATCCAGCTCCCAAAACAGGTTCAGTGAATGCCCCTTCTGTGTCTTCCAGGTGAGCTCCTGGGTGACATGGCTGATCCTCACGGCAGGATCCATGGAGGAGAAGCGAGAAGTCTTCTCATATTTGGTACATGTGGCCAAGTGCTGCCGGAACATGGGCAATTACAATGCTGTCATGGAGTTCTTGGCAGGCCTCAGGTAAGTCAGTGGTAACATGGTAATCTGAGCAGTTTCACCAGCCAAATGGCACTTATTTAATTCTCTGGGCAGCCACATTTATCCAAGCTGGGCAATTGGTAGTGATCATTTTGGAGAATATACTGTTCTCTTCCAGCCCTGTGAGCCTTGTCTCTTAAAGATGCTGCAGAATTCAGTTCCTGTAATGCAGTCATGATGCTGCTTCAATGTGTCTGGACTGATCTCCAGTTCCTGGCCAAGCTGAGTGAAATGACCAGGTCTCATGACCCATCAACCGTCACTGGTCCCTCTCTTTTCCTTCCTGTCCACAAATCCCACAACCATCTCTCTTTTCTCAGTTCTGCCTATGAATTGCCCTAGCACTGTATGCACCTAACCATTTCTTGCCCCTAGTAATAATAGTTGCTAACACTGACAATAAGCTTCCAATGTTAGCTCTCTCAGTATCGAGCACTCACTATATGTCAGGTACTGGACTAGCAAAGTATATTCCATACATTATATCTCTTAATTCTTAAAACTTTTTTGAAGTAGATGCTATTATTATCCCATATTGTACCAAAGTTAAGAGAAGCCATTCACCCAAGATCACCTTGCATGGCTGGAATATAATGCAGGCAGCCTAGATTTCAGAGCCCATGATCTTGACCACTGTAATGTCATGCTCTTATGCCTTCTTTCTCCATCAAGCTGATAAAATTACCATCCCACCATAAAGCCTCCTACCCTATTCCCTTTCTGCCTCAGTTACTTGCCATGAAGTAACTGCCCTCATTCCTATGGAAGGCAGCATGCTGTGTGAGGAAGGAGAGAACAAGATGACAAGTTAGTAACATAGCATCAAGTCCTGCTTCCCCAAGGAGTAACTGTTTGATCTGGTCAAGTCACTTGACTTCACTGAGCCTCAGTCTATAAAATGGGGATAATACCAAAAAGCACCTACCTCTCTAGGTAAATGTGCCTGCCATGTAGTAAGGCTCCAGAAAGAGAAGCTCTTATTATTGTTGTTTCTTGTGATTCGCCATGACTGTGACACAGGTTTTCTCTATAAATAAATCTTGCTTCATAACATTACAATAGCAAGGGTTTTCTTTGATTGTCTAAGTCCCTAGGTAGAGATTTCAGGTTGAGAGAGGAAATGAAAATTTCCTGAGTTGGAAATCTTTTTGTCCTTTTGAACTTTCTTAACTAAGAATAAACTCAAATTATCATATCATTGCCATTTTTAAATGGTCATATAAAAGTACTAAGCATGGCTCAAAACAAAAAAGTAAAACCAGAAAAAAATTCTTAGAAAATAGAAGACTTGGGGCCAGGGATTTGGCTCAGTGGTTCTACCGCCTGCCTCTCAAGCTCAAGGACCTGAGTTTGATTCCCGGTACCAAAAAAAAAAGAAAATAGAAGACTATATCCAGATGATTCTGATTCTCTTTGTTTTCTACAAAGAGTCTATGTTAACATTTATTCTAAGAAAAAAATATATGGTATAAAATGGTCCTTTTTTCAGTTTTGGGGGTTTTTATTTTTGTTTTCTGAGACAGTGTTTTACTATGCAGTCTTGAACTCACAGTCTTCCTGCTTCAGCCTCCCAATTGCTGGGTTTGCAGGCATGTGGCACCATGCCTGGCAAAATAGTTCTATTTTAATGATATTTGTCCTCCCATGTTTCACTGCCAGCTAGTGCTGGCTGTTGGCTGGGGACCACACTTCTTCCAATGGACAAACCTATCTCACAACTGGTGCTGACTCCCTCCAAAGTGAGCATCCAAGAGAGCAAAGCACAAGCCACTTTGCTTTTTATATCCTAGTCTCAGAAGTCGCATCCTGTCACTTCCACCATACTGTACTGATCACATAGAATCAACGAATTGCAGGGGGGGGATTTAGCTCAGTGGTTCCACCGCCTGCCTCACAAGCAGAAGGACCCGAGTTCAATCCCCAGTACCAAAAAAAAAAAAACCAGCAACAAGAAAAAAACAACTCCAGCAGATGAATTGCAAATACTCTTTTGATGGAATGATTGTGGAGATAGAGTTTGTGTGTACTTTCAGGCTTGAAAATGTTTAAATCGAAAATAATTTAACTCCATCAGGATTACTAGAGGGTTTTTTTGTTTTGTTTTGTTTTTTAAGCAATTGAATGGGAAGAAGGAACATCTTTATTGTTAAATGACCTTTTGTTTTTTCATAGACATTGTACATGTTGTGTCCTCTAATTAAAATGTCAGCTCTTTTAAAGAAAAATTAGAAATTTATAATCAAACATTTATAATCAAAGTATTAACTCAATTGTGCTGTCAATTTAAAATAACTCAAAATGAGCAATAGGAAAATCATTAAAGAAATAATATGACACATCCAGACAGAAGAATAATATTTAGCTGTCAGAGTTGATGTTTACTTCTGGCACAGTGGCACACACCTGTAATCCCAGCTCCTTGGAAGGCTGAGACAAGAGGATTGTAAGTTCAACTCCAACCTAGAAAACTTAGTGAGACCCTGTCTCAAAATTTTAAGAAAAAAAGATGTTTGAAAAACTTTATATTGTTGGAAAATAGATGACACACGATGACTAATGCTATCTGGGAGCATAGCTGTCTATACCTAACAACCTTGGCAATATTTATACACTCAGGTAGACCTAGATAGTTAAGTTATACTACAAAGAAATACACTGAATGTTGTCAGTATATGTAGAATTGTGGGTGATTTTTCTATTTTTTAGTTTTTGTTTTCTTTTGGGGGGAGCTGATGTTGTTTTGCTTTTGTTTTTGATTTTTTCAGTTTGTATAATGACCAGTTCGTACCTTCATAATCGTAAAATTTTAAGATAGGCCAATTCTCAATCTAAGAAAAGTTAATTAATCTTTGCTGAAATTTGTCTTTTATCACCAAGTATATCATTTTGACTCCATTACCTACACAAAAGAGAGACTAATAAGGGAGAACTATGTCTCAGTCATTCATTTGCTTTGCTTATTTGTATCTCCATTTTATTGGGGAAAAAGGGATTCTCTCTGCTTTATAACAATCTAGTTATAGGATAAGCTGGGCTTAGTGGCATGAAATCAGAAAACAATTTTGTTTTTCCAGCTCCACTACTTCAAATCTGTCTGACTGGTTCACCCTCCCTGACCCTGATTGTACACAGAGAAATTCTGTGGCTTTTCCAGTTATTCTTGAGTTTAATAAGCAGTCTCATTCTCCATACTTATGAATGTGAATGAATTTCAGAAACATAAGGGTGTGTTAAAAAAAAGCAGGTTGCCTATAATTCTATAACTTACTTAGCAATATATGCTAAGTTTAAAAAATTATAAGAGAAAGAGAACACCTGAGTCCCAGTGGGGTCCCTTCTGGCAAAGAAGGAGGGAGGGCTCCGTGCTCCTTGAGGAACCCACTGGTGCCTTCTCCATATTGTTGATGTTTGACTGTTTTAAACTGAGAGGTAATCACATGGGTGTTTGTTATGTTGTATTTCTTTATATCCTTTTAATGCCTCATATGTTACATAATGATTTTTAATCCAGTCTGTTCTAAGTCTAAATTTCAATCTCTCAGTTTATAGTGTCTCTCTTTTCCCACATTGCACAACCCAACCAGTCTTGGGAACTTACAATGAATGGGGTAGGAGTCTCTGAAGATAAAGAGAGAGGAGGGGAGGGAGGGAAGAGAAGAGGGAAAGAGGTGAAGGAAGCAAAAGTCCCTACTCTGCTGGGGCAATTATGCTCTGCCCTTGCTGCCCTTAGAGCCAATGTGAATGGTTTTAGCGTCTCCTAATTTCTCCCTCTAAGTGTTCCTCCTACTTTGTCCTATAGGGACTTCCCATGAGACCATTATCTGACAGTACACCTTCCAGACGACCACTCCTCAGACTAGCTCTAGAAGTCCTCCTTCCCGGTCTCTTTCTACTAGGGTCACCTCATTTGGCAGGTGGGCCTTTCAATGCAGTGCAGGGCCAGTCTCCTTCCACAGTGTCCTTCCCAAACACACAGGAGCCACCAGGATATTGCCCTTCCAACTCTGCAAATCCGGGACACATCTGCTAGAGTCTCCCCCTTTGCCATCAGGCAGCTGCAACCAGTCTCTCTTCTTGAGGTGAGAGTCATACACCAGGACATGGGTCACTGTCTTCATAGAGTTCACTTGAAGCCTCTGTGCTTGGGTGACTATCCACCTTCTCACATGAGGCCTTCCAAATTTCTCCAAGGAAGTTTTCCCTACCTGGCTACACAGATCCAATTCCTCAGTGTGGGCCAAAGGAGGGTGAGAGGGCCGGAAAGGCTGAGCTGTTTTAGTATACACTTGTGTTGATGTGACACCTCACTCTAGAAGGAAAAGTACAGTGTTACCTGTTGATATCAGCAGCAGTTTTAAAATAGGGAAAGTCCCATTTAACATCCTATTGTGCAGATAATAGTTTAAGACAAAGTTTCCCCAAATGAGCTGGTGGCTTAATATTAAAGCTTGATTCAATAAAAAGCAGTTCTCCAAAATAGCCAAAATAGCAAGCTCCGTGTATATAACTAAGGCATTTAAAGAGCAAGAGAAATAGATGGACCAGGTTTTCTGCAGGCAACCCTCAATGAATATTTGTACAAATTGTAATTATCCACTCGGTTTCCCTTTTGGCTATAGCTACCAGAAAAGCTCAAACCTACACTGAGTGCCCAGCTTCCATAATTATCTCATCCCATCTGCCTATGTTTATTTATATTTGTCATATTTAATTTTGAGTTTCACTTTACAGAAACAATATTACTTGGGGATATGTAGAAATCCTAAATAACTACTAACAAGTAAAGAACACTTAGAAGGTAATCAGAGTGAATATGTATGGAAGTTAAACTATTTACTGAAAGCTATATTATTTCTCCTTCAATCTAAAATAATGTCGTGTACTTGCAACAGGTCTAGAAAAGTTCTAAAGATGTGGCAGTTCATGGACCAGTCTGACATCGAGACCATGAGAAGCCTGAAGGATGCAATGGCTCAGCATGAGTCCTCCTTGGAGTACCAGAAGGTGGTGACACGGGCGCTGCACATCCCTGGCTGCAGGGTGGTTCCATTCTGTGGGGTGTTTCTAAAGGAGCTCTGTGAAGTGCTGGATGGAGCCTCTGGCCTCATGAAGCTTTGCCCACGGTACAATTCCCAAGAAGAGACCTTAGAGGTGAGGCCTTTCACAATCACCAGGCTCTGAAGAGCCATTGTTTCCACCTTTCAGTCAGGCCCTATGGATACTCAGGAACACGATGAGAGATCTCTTACTGAGCCTACCTAGGGGTAATCATTATGTTGTTTCTGGGCAGCAGGTAGGTTCTTAAAAGTTCTGAAGAAAAGTGCCAACTGCCACTGTTTGAGGCTCACTATTGTTATGTTAGGTTTAATGTGACACTGTGTAAATACAGATGGAAGGGGTGTTGTTTTCTTGTTTTGATTTTAAAGGTTCACAGTTTTTCTTACTGAATGGGAATGCTTAGATGCAAGGGAATAAAGAAAGTCTACTGAAAATATTTACTTTCTCAAATCAGTGGCAGAAATAATGGGGACAGGGGTGGGGTCGGCACTGCCTTCTCCTGCTTTGTGGGAAGATGCTGCAGAAGCTTGTGCCTTGTCTGAAATCATGCTCTAGGTTCCTGCTCCCAGCTCCCCATGCTCTCCCAGGCCCTCAGCTCCTTGTTTCTGGATGGAGAGGATGTATAAACTTTGACCCCGGGCACTGGGCTTTAGCGAAAAGGGGCACTGAGCAACTGGAAGGAAAATATAAACAAACCTCCCTCTGAGGTGCTTCAAAATGAAAGAAGAGAGTTAAAAAAGGAATTTTATGGAGATTTAGAGGAGTCCCATACTCAGAAGTCCCACATCCAAATCTAAGGTCATTCTCATCAACGTGACTGCACTCTTTCCTAGCCTTTCTCACACATGTGTGTGCGCACACACACGCACACACATACACACCCTTTCTCAAAGTGGAAAGACTTGCCTAAAACTCCAGGCATTTTTGTGTCACCTGAAAACATAGGCATCACCTGGAAACAGGAAGATTTGAGTCCCAGATGAGTGAGTACAGGCAGCACCACTGGCTACCATCTCTTGGACATAGAAGCTGGGATAAAAGTACAAGAAATGAAAGAGAAAGGTTAAATGAAGTCTCCCAAGCTCTATCCACACAAGCCTCCTCATGTCATGGAAAAGGGAGCTCCTAGGAAGCTGAAAAACTACCAAGAAGCCATGGTCTCACTGTAGGACATAAGGGCAACACAGCAAAAAGTTACCTTTTCTTAATGTTTTCACTGGGCTCCTGTCATTTCATCTCGTTTCTTAGGATAAGATATTTTATCATAGTTTTTCTCAGTTTTCACTACATGAACAAAATAACTCTGTAGCTCCTCTGTAAAGTAGCTAACCTTTTCCCTAGGGATCCCTGAAATAATATTGCTTCTTGTGTTTTAAATTCTAAGTGCAGTGTTGATTCCTAGAAGACTTAAATTATTTCATTGAAAACAAGTGTAAGTCTTAATATTTCATGTGGTAAAGTGAAAAAAAAATGTTTTTCCTGGAGAGTCTTGCTTTCTTTCCAATAAAATAGGCACAAATGCTTGTTATTTATTGCTGTTATGATTTAGTTTTCCTAGCCAAGTAGGTTATGCAGACATACTAAGTTACAGTAGCAATTTCTCCAAATATTTTTTCTGTAGTTTGTAGCAGATTACAGTGGACAAGATAATTTCTTGCAACGAGTAGGACAGAATGGCTTAAAGAATTCAGAGAAAGAATCCACTGTCAACAGCATCTTTCAGATCATCAGAAGCTGCAGTCGAAGTCTGGAGGCAGAGGAAGAGGACAGCCTCAGTGAAGGCGACAGCTCTAGGAAAAATTCCTTGAAGGATAAAACCCGATGGCCGTAAGTTTTACAAAGTAAAAAGGAAGAACCCACTCTTCTTCCTGTTGTCTAACACTTTTGTCTTTAAGCCATGCTTCTTTACATTCAAACGTTACCATCTTTGAATTAGAATTTGTTTTTCTTATTTTACTGCTTTGCTCTAAAATTACTGCTCACAATTTAACTCTTGCCATCTGTTATCCCTTTTTTAAAATAAGATATGATTTATTATTTTGTAAAATTACTTTTAACTGATACGTAAAAAATATAAAAATTCTACATACTAGTAGGATTCTTGTTCTTTAAAAAACACACACACCTGGGCCAGGGATTTAGCTCAGTGGTTCTGCCACCTGCCTCTCAAGCTTAAGGACCTCAGTTTGATCCCTGGTACCAAAAAAAAAAAAAAAAAGCACACACACACCTAAGGCCATCCTGCCATTTCTAAAACTTTAACAAATTAAATTTCAGGATTAGAACTATAATCTTTTATTGATTTTATAGTTTTTATTAGTCCCTGGGGTGATGGGCTGGCCTTTGATTTAGTAGGTCTGAGGAGATACCCAGGAATCAGTAGTTTTAGCAGCTCCATTCAGCTTCTGGGTGACTCTAAGTCATGAAGTCCAAGGACCTAACTTTGAGAAACACTGCTGTGCTCCGTGAGGCATGTTAAAGTTAGCCCTGATCATACAATAGATCTGAAACTTTGCAGTTGTTCAGTTGTCCTAAAACTGTCAGCAGGCATAGCTGTCTAGTCAGGCAAGCTTACCCAGAGCTGAGTAAAAGGAGAAAAATGAATGGGCTTGGAGCTCCCTTTGCTTTCTTCAAGCCTAACCTCAAATGACAGAGCCTTGCCTGGGGAGTGGAAAAGGGATCCTTTCAAGACACCCAAACCATTACGTCTACTGGCTTTGGTATTTTTACCTGTGAAAGGTTTGTTTGTAGTCAGTACATGAGTCCTACACTACTGTTATCTTGGAGTCCTTATACATGTATATGTACATTTGCAAGAACTGCTGTTTGTTTTGCAAAGCTTTTTCTGTTTTTGTGTGTGTGCGTGTGTTTGTCTGTCTGTACGCACTACATTGGGAAAGACAATAGTATTTTTAGAAAATAATTTCTTTGGAGTTGTGCTGGATCCTTAGAATTCATTATAAATACAGAAATGAACATCCTGTGTATGACTCCCTAATGCCATCATGTTTTAAGGAAGTAAACTTAAATTCCAGATTTCTCCAAGGCCTTTGGGCTTTCTTCCAAACCTCCAAAGATTAACTGTTATTTTCCTTACCATAGTGTCTGAGGCCTAATGTTCAAATGTCTCAGCAAAATATCCACTAGTTCTTTTGTTATTGTTTTAGTTTATCTCAAATCAGAATATTTCCATATTTTCTCACTGACAGATTAGGGGCAATCTATACTTAGTGAGTGGGCCTTCTACAAGAATTATGTGTACACAGGAAGCATCATTTAAATTTTTAATCTCTTACTATCCTATCTACCCATTTTACCCATCTCTCTATATAGATATCTATGTGCATATCTACCTCCTTCCACAAAATATTTGTAGATGATTATAAGAATAAACTGATTATAAGAATAAATTGAGGATATTAAGGAAAAGGAAAATAAGAGTAGAGAAAAAACATTAAAAATGTACACTCTCCTGTCTGTAGGGGGACTAAATTTTGTTCTGAGATTCTTAGTGGATAAAGGAAAACAAATTTGCGGTATTTACAAGAAAAATCGAACAGCTGCTTGGGAGACATATGCTTTTTCCTCCTACTAAGATCTGGTTGAAATTCCCACCTTAAATCCTACTATTAAGGGCATATCATCCATGAATAGATAAAATAGTGAATTTCAAATGACATTTTTGAATACCAACCTTCATTTGGGGCCAGGTGTCTGTTGTGGCTGTGTGTGTTATGTAAAGATATCAACTAAAAAATACCTTCAGGAATGCCACCTTTGACTGACTTCCAGAGACCTAGACTCTGAACTTTATTTTTACCTTCCTTTCCTTTTCTCTGAGGTCCTCCAAGTGATAAATTTCTCTAATCACTCTCATTAAATTTTTTTTTTTTTTTGGTACCGGGGATCGAACTCGGGTCCTTGCGCTTGTGCGACAGGCAGCGAAACCACTGAGCTAAATCCCCGGCCCTCTCTCATTAAATTTTATTTCTAATTTTCTGCTTCTTCTTGACCTCTTTCTCTAAGCATTTTGTCGTCTATATCCTAAGATTATTCTTTTCCATTGCTCATTTTTCAGACTCTGTTATCATAGCAGGGTGAAAAAATACAAAAGTGTAAATATTTATTTGAAGTCATATTGAAATCCTCACTTTGAGACCTTTGTTCCTCACTGCCAAGTAACTGCCACTCTGAAAGGAACCTCTGAACACACATAAGAGGGGGAAGGGGTGTTTAATAGAATTCACTGAAACCTCAGATAGACAAGCAGTATTTCCATAACCATCTGCCTGGATTTAGGAACCCCCTATCCTAATTGAGAGCTCTACATTAAAGTGCCCAGTTCAGTGTTGTGTGTGGCAAAGTGACGTGTAGATCCTGAAGACCAGAGGAATGGGGCTTTCTTGATCTGGTGGAAACAAAGCTCCGTAAACAGTAAGCTCCAGCCTCTGTTCATGTAATAACTACCAACTCTGGGGAAATTACAGCAAAGAAAGGATGACTGGGTGTGGCAGTGTATACTTGCAATCTCAGGACTCGGAGAGGCTGAGGCAGGAAGATCACAGATTCAAGCCCAGCCTGAGCAACTTAACAAGACTCCATCTCATAATTTAAAAAATGAAAAGATGTAAGCAGATGTAGCTCAGTGCAAAGACCCCATATTCAATTCACAGTACTCAAAAACTTTTTTAAAAATTAAAAAGGACAATCTCATAGTCCTTTGGTTCACTCAGCCTGCAAAGTGCTCTTGTGATTCTTCTGAAAACTCTCAGCTGCTCCTGTCAGAAAACCTGATGAAAATACTCACAGAAACCACAGAAAAGTGACCATAAAAAGTTCAGGAGCTCAGCCGGAAAGAAATAGAATTGAATGTATCTCAAAGTGTGAATGGGATCTTAAGGTAAACTTATCTAACCTCTGCACACATGATGAAGTTGTGCTGAGAGAAATGAAGTCATCGTCCTCAGCAATAACTAGCGGGGCCAGGGTATGTGCTCAACCGAAAGGCTTGGGCCCCTGTGTTTTGTAGTAGTTAAGGCATTTCTTTTCACTGGAGAGAGCCTAAGCCTCAGTTTGTCTTCATGTCTTTTTCTGTGGATTAGGAACATCTGAATTCTAAAACATTTCAGTTATATTTGATATACCCTATAAAGCTCATTTATGATAACTTTCTTAAATTTATGAGCACAAAGAATGAATAAGCCATGCCTATGTAAATATATTTAAGTCATTGGAGAAATAAGAGTTGTATGAGGGCCCATTGTTGGGAAATGGAAATTAAGAATATTAAGGTGTAGAGAGAAAAGGTATGGACATCTTTCATAGCAGTGACCACTACAGGTGCTTCCCTCAGTTTTGCTCTCCTTATTTACTAGAGAAATCTGTATTTTGTGCCCTCGCCACCCAAACTACCCTAGAGACTTGCCTGGAAAGTAATGTAACCCCACAGGGTTAGAAAATAAGAGAGTTAAACATAAGAAAGTAGAGTACTGTATCTTAGAAAAGATCATAGTTATCATGATCAACCATATCTGCACACATCTATCCACATGGATATACAGTATAATAAAATCAGAGGAAATTAATCATTTTTCTTCCAAAACAGATGATGTAGATAAATCCCAATCGTACAAACACCCACCTCATAACATCCTTTATGTACAGCAGACTGCTACAGTTCAGCCAGGTCCTTCACATGGTCTCCCTTCCCAGCTTTGCTGCAGATGCCAGGGACCCTCTGTTTCTCTCTCATGTCTTCTCATTGACCAAAACTTGAGCACAGCCCTGCTTCTATGACTTATAAAGAAAGAGCTATTTTCCCACTATTTGTATAAAATCCACTTTATGAAAGTGTGTTGGATATATATAAAATGCTTCTGCTGAGTGCCTGCCAGTGGAAAGCAGAGATACTCAGTATGAGAAGCAGAGTATTAAACCTTAGTAAGAGCATGTGAAAAGTTATGGTTGACAGAGTGTACCATAAACATGGATCACAATACCTTTCATTGGAGTTGCATGATCTTGCCACTTCAGATTCTGTCAAATGAAAACATTATGGTGTGTTCTCATCCACCTAATTCTTCAAATGTAGAATCATGCAGTCTGGAGGTTTAGCTCAGTGACACGGTGCCTGCCTCACAAGCACAAGGTCCTGAGTTTGATCCCCGGTACCAAAAAAAAAAGAAAATGTAGCATCATGCAAATTCTAGCTCTTCCCCAATGCCAAAATGACCATGAAAGGTAAATATTTTGAATTGATTCAGGACGTTGAGACAGCCATGTCAGCGCAACTAAAGATGCTCATGAATGAAAACTTCCAGAACTGCTTCAGAAAGTGGCAAGATAAGTATATTCAAAGTGAGAGAGAGAGAGAGATTAATGGCAATGTGTCTTTTACTATAATGCATTTTTTAAAAAATTTAAACATTAGCCTTATTTTTATCATATCTTGGTTATTTCTCACTTCTGTCACAATTTGAAACAGGACACCAGTTTGTCAGAGAAACAGTGTTTGTATGGGTGGTTTTGTTCTGTAGTACTGACTTTCTGAACACAAGTCAGATAATAATAATAATAATAATAATAATAATAATAATGACAACATTTTTGTAAACATTTTTGTAAAATCATGGCTGATTTTACTGAGTCCATTTTTTAAAAAAACACTATCCTAAATATTTTACATATATTAAATTATATAATCTTTGCATCATTTTCATTTTACTCAAGAGCTCATAAGCTTGCAGGGCTGGGATTTAAATTTAGGCAAGCTGTCTCCAAAGTCCACACACTACTTAGATATAATTTAGAAACTGCTTGTAGTTGAA